AAAAAATATCTGATAAAAGAATTGGAGACCACATGAACTTCATGGTGGGGTTGTCCATGATCAGAATTGGGTTGAGATTAAAAATAAAAATAAAAAGAAAGAAGCCAAACATTAATAATATAACGACAAACATTAATAATATTTATCTCATCACATTAAAAAGTGAAGCACTAGTGTTTGGTATATAACTACAAACATTAATTTTTTTAAATGTTATTGAGAGGGTAATTTTTGAGAAAATAGGGCCGAGCTGCGAGTTGGGCTTTGAGGCCCAAAACGCGAAGGACTGAGTAAAAAAGGCCGTAATGGATACTCCGGCCTAGGAGAGCAAGGTCACTCCGGCAAAGTTACTCCGGCCCAAGGAAGAGTAAAACTACTCCGGTCCGGAGGCAACTCGGAGTTAGGCCGGTCTGTAAACAAATCTTAAAAAAAAAATTAAAATAAAAAAGAAAAGCCAAAATCAAGCTAAAAAGTCATCTAGTTGTATTATTATTATTTTTTTTATTATATATATATATTTTTGTCCTTTCTAAACTCTATTCCAAAATTTTTAAATTTTTAGATTTTTTATTTTTTTAGCTTGTCTAGTCAAGTAGATAGGAGTAAACAAACACTAGGCCAAGTCGGATTCGGACTAGGTTTGCGCTATATAATAAGAGTATATATGTCATCCCACCTGGTCTGTGATGACCGAGTCTTTTCTTTCTTCGCTTTCTTTTCTTTTATCTCTTTGTCCTTTTATTTTCGTTTGGACTTGGAACGTTCGGAAACTATTTTAAAAAATTAAAGTCATTGTTCTTGTTTTTCGCTCGGTGTTGAGTTTCAGTTGTTTCGGAGGGTGCGCGGTCGAGTTCGGAGTGCCCGGGGACCAAACCAGAATTTTTTGGGCTGTGGGGCCAGGGCCGCACGTGCGGGGTGGTGTCGCACGTGCGGGGGGGTGAAGCCGCACGTGCGGGGATGAGGGCCGCACGTGCGGGGAAGGGCGCTCCGCACGTGCGGGGTTAGGTGCCGCACGTGCGGCACTCTGGCAGTCCGAATCTCTATTTTTTTTCATCTTTTTGGCCGAAGTTGTATCATATATTGAGCATTTTTCTCTCACTCTAAACCTCATTTCTCTCCTCCTTCTCTCTAGAAACTCTCACCAAAGCCCTAAAATACCTTGATTCTTATAATCTTGGGTCTAGATCATCAACATTTCTCACCAATCTTGAAGATCCAAGTAAGGCTTCCTCTTGGTGTTGTGGAAATTTGAAGAGTCTTCCACCAAAGCTAGGGTTTCCACTTTCCTTCATCATCTAACATTGAGGTAGGAATTTCTTGAGTTATATATACATGTTGTGCTAAATATGATGATTTAAAAGCTTTCTTGTAGTTTTTGTGTCGATTTTGATGGTTGCTCCAAATATAGAGAAAGTTTTGAAGAAATGGATTTTGATCTCAATCTTTTTCCTATCCATGAAAATGTTCTTTTTATGAAACTCAAGAAAATATGATTTTTGATTGGGTTTCATCATGAAATGGAGGATGTTGGGTTTTTGATGAAAAACCCTAGAAATTTGGGGATTTTTGGAAAACATGGAAATGTCCATGGAATTCTCCCTTTTCTTTTGATAAAAGATGAAAGTGTGTAGTTTCCATAATGTGGTTGCAATGATGGAGAGCTTTTGACATATGGAAATGGAAAACTTGTCTTAGAAACTATGGTTAAAAATATGATGATATATAGTTATAAGATGACAAATTGTTGTGCACTTTGAAATTGTGAGAATTATAAACATGGGAACTTGATGTTTGAAAAAAAACACCACTTGTGCTCTTGAAGAGACTAGATTATTAAGACTTGTGAATATAAAATTGTAACTATGTGTTGATGACACATGGTCTTCTTGTGAAAGAACAATGAAGAAAGGAAATGGGAATTGTGATTGTTGGCATTATTGTGGAGACGTTTGAAATTGGAGAAGTGTTATGAGATATGGAAAGATCATGGCATTGCATATTTATTCAATTATTATTTTGCATTGCAAATGTAAACAAATCTTAAAAAAAAAATTAAAATAAAAAAGAAAAGCCAAAATCAAGCTAAAAAGTCATCTAGTTGTATTATTATTATTTTTTTTATTATATATATATATTTTTGTCCTTTCTAAACTCTATTCCAAAATTTTTAAATTTTTAGATTTTTTATTTTTTTAGCTTGTCTAGTCAAGTAGATAGGAGTAAACAAACACTAGGCTGAGTCGAATTCGGACTAGGTTTGCACTATATAATAAGAGTATATTTGTCATCCTACTTGGTCTACGATGACCGAGTCTTTCCTTTCTTCGCTTTCCTTTCTTTCATCTCTTTGTCCTTCTTTTATTTTCGTTTGGACTTGGAACGCTCGGAAACTGTTTTCAAAAATTAAAGTCCTTGTTCTTGTTTTTCGCTCGGTGTTGAGTTTCAGTTGTTTCGGAGGGTGCGCGGTCGAGTCCGGAGTGCCCGGGGACCGAACCAGAATTTTTTGGGCTGTTGGGCCAGGGCCGCACATATGGGGCCCTAGGCCGCACGTGCGGGGTGGTGTCGCACGTGCGGGGAAGGGCGCTCCGCACGTGTGGGGTTGAGTGCCGCACGTGCGGCACTCTAGCAGTTCGAATCTCTGGTTTTTTTCACCTTTTTGGCCGAAGTTGTATCATATATTGAGCATTTTTCTCTTACTCTAAACCTCATTTCTCTCCTCCTTCTCTCTAGAAACTCTCACCAAAGCCCTAAAATACCTTGATTCTTGTAATCTTGGGTCTAGATCATCAACATTTCTCACCAATCTTGAAGATCCAAGTAGGGCTTCCTCTTGGTGTTGTGGAAATTTGAAGAGTCTTCCACCAAAGCTAGGGTTTCCACTTTCCTTCATCATCTAACATTGAGGTAGGAATTTCTTGAGTTATTATACATGTTGTGCTATATATGATGATTTAAAAGCTTTCTTGTAGTTTTTGTGTCGATTTTGATGGTTACTCCAAATATAGAGAAAGTTTTGAAGAAATGGGTTTTGATCTCAATCTTTTTCCTATCCATGAAAATGTTCTTTTTATGAAACTCAAGAAAATATGATTTTTGATTGGGTTAGGATGTTGGGTTTTTGATGAAAAACCCTAGAAATTTGGGGATTTTTGGAAAACATGGAAATGTCCATGGAATTCTCCCTTTTCTTTTGATAAAAGATGAAAGTGTGTAGTTTCCATAATGTGGTTGCAATGATGGAAAGCTTTTGACATATGGAAATGGAAAACTTGTCTTAGAAACTATGGTTAAAAATATGATGATATATGGCTGTGAGATGACAAATTGTTGTGCACTTTGAAATTGTGAGAATTATAAACATGGGAAATTGATGTCTGAAAAAAACACCACTGGTGATATTGAAGAGACTAGATTTTTAAGACTTGTGAATGTAAAATTGTAACTATGTGTTCATGACACATGGTCTTCTTGTGAAAGAACAATAAGGAAAGGAAAATGGGAATTGTGATTGTTGGTAGTATTGTAGAGACATTTGAAATTGGAGAAGTGTTATGAGATATGGAAAGATCATGGCATTGCATATTCATTCAATTATTATTTTGCATTGCAAATTTCGATTGAAGATATTTATTTCATGAAAGAAAATGATATTGTAATAAGAACTACGGAAAAGTGGTATGGGGTAAATACATTGGTAAGTTCGGTTGGGAAGTGTAGATGAATTTGATAAGTTGGCCTTAGTGTCCATGGTGAAAGACCAAAAACCCGCGCGGATAGGTGTCGAGCCTTCCGGTTAATACCGGTAAAAATGGCATTTTGGTAGTACTCATAGAGTCTACTTGCAGACACCAACCGATGGATTACCAGTGTCGTATTTATCGCCCCTATTGATTGAAATTAGAAGTTTTGAAATGTGTTGTGAATGCAAGCTTTTATTGGAAAATGATAATCTTCAAAAAGAGTATGAAATAAAATTTCTTTAAAAGAGCATGGCATGGCATTGACATTTGCATTTTTATTGAGAGTTTGCATAACTGTATATACTTTGTAAGAATTCTCTACTGGGATTTATGTTTACCCCTATGAGATTTTGGTGCAGGAAAAGATGTGGTGATCCCGCCGAATTGAGGGCGTGGATATTTTTGTGAAGAGTAAATAGCTCTCTTATTTTGTTGTAAATTTTTGTGAGCCAAGGGCTAAACATGTATGGGTCCGAGAAACCATTTTGTGTAACCGGGCTATTGCCTTGGAAGATGTAAACCCTTAAGGGCGTTTTATTGTTTTGAGACTAGGTGCTTCACATGCTATAGATTCATGTATATTTTTATCATTGAATGTATATCCGCATGTGAAATTTTTGTATGAAACTCTCTTATTAACTATGTAAAGATGGGAAGTGTAATGTGGGTAGTTCATTTAAATTATTTCGGGGCGTTACAACTTGGTATCAGAGCTACCTGGTTTGAATACTTGGGGCTCGCGGGAAGTGGTTGCTATACGGGTTCATTTCGCATGATTAGGAAATGTTTTGTTTATTTGTGATTGTTTATTTGTGATTATGTGACAGCATGCTTACGTGACTATATGGGTATCAGATTGGACTTTTGAGATGTTATTTGTGCCTATTAAATTCCTTGAGGTCTTATTAAAAGAGTACTTGATCATTACTTATTCTACTAAGAATTCTTGGTTTCTCATGAGACGAATCTCATCACTAAAGAATAATTCGTATGTGCTTATGTGACTACGTGCTTATGTGGAGTGAATTGAATTGTTTGTGTGTAGAATGTGTATAGTTGTTACAGTTTAACGTGTGAGTCAAGTTGCGAGCACATTTGGGATTGTGTACTAAATTATTTATCTTGTTCCTTAATTAGGATGTCAGGAAGGGTTCAAAGTCATGGTGGTAGGGCGGAAGACGTGGAAAGGGTTGCCGGGGTGTGCATGGGGTGCCAGTCCATGAGGTACCGGTGCAAGAAGAGGGTTTAGGCCAAGCTAACATGGCTGAACATGTAAGGCAAGCGGAGGTACCGAGGCAAACGGGCCAAGCTGCAATGGGGGCCCTAGCCTGGGAAATGGCGGGGGCATTGAGAGAGTCCATGAACATTTTGAGGACGAAGACCCAAGCTAGGGAGAATGCTGTGGAGACAAGGGCGAGCTTCCTCACGAGGGAGTTTTTGCGAACCAAACCGCAGGAATTCCATGGTGGCCCCGAGCCAAAGAAGGCGGATGAATGGCTTGAACAGAGAGTGAAGGCATTCGAGATGCTTCACATAGAAGACAGTGAGCTTAGAGTGACTCTTGTGAGTTACTATCTCAAAGGTGACGCAGGCCAATGGTGGAAGTATGCTAATGGCCGAATTGAACCAACATGGGAGGCATTTGTAGTGGCCTTCCAAGACAAGTATCTTCCTTCCGCGGCTAGGGAGAGGTTGAAAAAGGAGTTTCAAGACCTTAAGCAACTTAACATGTCCGTGGCCGAATTCGAAGCGGCCTTCTCTAGTTTGTCTCGGTTTGCACCGGAGTTAGTAATGACGGAAGAGCACCGTTGCATTGAGTTCAAGAAGAAGTTGAGATCCAAGATCTTGTTCAAGGTTGCCGGGAATATGATTCGAAATTATGACCGTCTTGTGGAAGCGGCCGCACATGTGGAGATTATCGTGGAGGCTGAGAAGAAGAGATTTCGAAATTCGAGGTATAGGGGCCAAGGGTCACAAGAGGACTTTAGGCCAAACAAGAAGAGCAGAAACACTTTTTCATTCTAGTCCCAACCGTAACAGTCTAAATCTACTTTTCCCTTGCCTAGTGCGGGCTCGGGACAGAGTGCACCGAGTGGGTTTTCTTGCTTCAAGTATGGCCAATCGGGTCACAAGGCCTTTGCATGTCCACAGAAGGGAAGAGGACAATAGATGTTGCCACCACCACCACCTAACCGATTTCAGAGTCAGTCTTAGAGTAGGAGTCAGCGGCTTACTTGCTACCAATGCAGTCAGTCAGGGCACATGAAGAGAGCTTGCCCGCAGTCGGGAGGCGCATCTGGCGCATCAGGGTCTAGACAGACTTAGAGCCACCAGCAGGCTCACTCAGCTTAGAGTTCACGAGTTCATCAGGGAGCTGCTTCGGCTCAGTCAGTACAATAGGCCTATGCTCCGAGGGATGAGCAGGTGGAGCAGAGGCCACAGAGGCGCGTTCATGTAGTTACCGCACCAGAGCAGTTGCCTGGATCCTCGGTAGTGAGAGGTATTTTTATTGTGTGTAATTCTTTGGCCAGCGTGTTGATAGATACGAGTGCATCTCATTCATTCGTATATGCTGCATTCGCATTTGCATTTGGGCTAGAGGTGACACAGTTAGCATCCCCACCCAGAGTAGAGTCTCCAGTTGACCTAGATCGGGGTTATCATGGCTGTGAGATAGAGGTTACCGGGCGTAGACTCCCGTTTGCCTTTGTATTTCTAGACATGTCGAGCTTTGATGTCATCCTGGGCATGGATTGGTTGTCGTCATATCGGGCAGTGATTGATTGTTTTCGTCAGAGGGTCACAGTATGCACCCCGGGTGGTAATTGTTTTTACTTTCTAGGGGACCAGATTGATAGGGTCATGTCGCCAGTATTCGATCCTCGTAGTAGAAATGAGCTTAGTGGTCTTCTTGCTACTCTTTTAGATGATGAGAGTGGGGGAACTCGAGTTGAGTTGCCAAGGGTAGTGTGTGAGTACCCGGACGTGTTTCCTGAGGACTTTACTAGTTTGCCACCCCATCGGGGGATTGAGTTCACCATCGATTTAGTGCCTTGAACGGCACAAATATCTATGGCGCCGTATAGATTTGCACCCGCAAAGTTGCATGAGTTGAAGATTCAACTCCAAGAGCTTCTAGACAAGGGCTTCATTCGCCCTAGTACGTCACCTTGGGAAGCGCTAACTCTCTTTGCGAAAAAGAAGGATGGATCGTTGCGGTTGTGTATTGACTACCGTAAATTAAATCGAGTTACTATCAAGAACAAATATCCTTTACCCGGAATAGATGACTTGTTTGATCAACTTAGAGGGTTTTGTTGCTTTTCAAAGATAGACTTGAGGTCGGGGTACCATCAGTTGAGAGTCCGGGAGGAGGACATCCAGAAAACGGCCTTTCGTACGCGTTATGGCCACTATGAGTTCCTTGTAATGCCATTTGGGTTGACCAATGCACCGGCTTTTTTCATGGATTTGATGAACCGAATTTTTAGGAAGTACTTGGATCATTTTCTGGTCGTCTTTGTAGACAACATCCTAATCTATTCGACTTCCGAGAAGGAACATGAGGCTCACTTGAGGGTAATGCTTGATTTGCTTAGAAAATACCAGTTGTATGCTAAATTTGAGAAGTGTGAGTTTTGGCTCACCGAGGTGAAGTTTTTCGGCCACGTAGTGTCAAGTGAGGGGGAAATCATGGACTCGTCAAAGATCAATTCGGTGCAAGATTGGGAGTAGCCTAAAAATGTTTTGGAGATCCAGAGTTTCTTGGGATTGGCGGGGTACTATCGGCATTTTGTGAGGGACTTCTCTAGATTAGCTGCGCCTTTGACTAGGTTGACTAGAAAGGGGGTTAAATTTGTGTGGAATGAGGCTTATGAAATTTTTTTCCAGGAGCTAAAAATTAGGTTGACTACGGCACCGGTGTTGATCATTCCAGAGAGAGGCTTGGGTTACACTGTCTATTGTGATGCGTCTTGGGATGGGCTTGGGTGTGTTTAGATGCAAGAGGGAAAGGTTGTCGCCTACGGTTCATGACAATTGAAAACCCATGAGAAGAACTACCCTACCTACGACTTAGAGTTAGCCGCAACGGTGTTTGCCTTGAAAATTTGGAGGCATTACTTGTATGGTGAGAAGTTTAAGGTTTTCTTTGACCATAAGAGCTTGAAATATTTGTTTTCCCAAAAAGATTTGAATCTACGCCAGCGGAGGTGGATGGAGTTTTTAGAAGACTATGATTTCAAGTTACACTATCATCCGGGGAAGGCCAATGTAGTGGTCGACGCCTTGAGTCGAAAAATCGTGAGTAGTTTAGCAAGTGTAGCTATTTAGAAGTGGGTTATGTTGGGTGAAGTCGGCAAATTTGAATTACAATTGGGTGAGTCCGAAGGAGGCACAACATTGTTTGCCTTGAGCGCTCAACCTGTGTTGATTAGCAAAGTTATAGAGGCGCAACAAAGGGACCGCGCAGTAGAATTAATTAGTGATAGAATCTCCAACGGGAAGGAAGAGAAGGGTTTGAACATTCACTCGGATCAGAGTGTACGTTACCTAGATCATCTGTTTGTGCCTGAATCTTGCAAGGAGGAAGTGCTTCGAGAGTTCTATCACACACGTCTTGCGGTACATCCGGGAGGCACCAAAATGTATTGTGACCTTAGCCGTCAGTTTTGGTGGAGGGATATGAAGCAGGATGTCGCATCCTTTGTGTCTAAGTGCCGTACTTGTCAACAAGTGAAGGCCGAACATCAAAAACCAGTGGGTTTGTTACAACCCTTACCTATAGCCGAGTGGAAGTGGGAGCACGTTACCATGAATTTCGTAGTTGGGCTTCCTAGAACGCAGCGGGGGCAATGATGCCATTTGGGTAATTGTTGATAGGCTAACTAAGTCCACACACTTTGTCCCAATGTGTACTAGTGACTCAGTTGAGCACTTAGCAGAGTTGTATGTTAGAGAGATAATTCGGCTTCATGGGGTTTCGGTAACCATCGTGTCGGATAGGGATTCTCGTTTTACCGCCCAGTTGTGGTAAAGCCTTCAAAAGACGTTAGGGACTAAGTTGACTTTTAGCACCACTTACCACCCTCAAACCGATGGGCAGTCAGAACGCACCATTGGAGGACATGCTTAGAGCTTGTGTCCTAGATTTCAAGGGGTCTTGGGAGAGGCATTTACTGTTGATTAAATTCGCTTACAACAATAGTTATCAGGCTAGCATCGAGATGGCACCATTTGAGGCCTTGTATGGCCGACCTTGTAGATCGCCGGTTTGTTGGGCCGATGTGGGAGATGCACCGTTGTTGGGTACGGAGATTGTTAGGGAGACAACTGAGAAAGTTGCTCTCATTCACAAGAGATTAGCTACGGCTCAAAGCCAACAGAAAAGTTATGCCGATAGAAGGATGTGACCCTTGTCCTTTGAAGTAGGTGATCATGTGTTCCTTAAGATCTCACCTAGACGGGGTTTGATGAGGTACAGTAAAAGTGGTAAGTTGTCTCCGAGGTTCATTGGACCTTTCGAGATATTGGAGAGAATCGGGGAAGTGGCATATCGGTTGGCCTTACCGCCACAACTTTCGGGAGTACACAATGTGTTTCATGTGTCTATGCTTAGGAAGTACAAACCCAACCCTTCTCATGTGTTAGATTGGGTTGATTTGGAGGTAGATGAGGATGCCTCCTACGAGGAGCGACTGGTTCAAATCTTAGATACTCGAGAACAAGTGCTACGAGACAAGACCATACTGTTAGTGAAGGTGTTGTGGAGACACCATGGGATTAAGGAAGCAACTTAGGAATGGGAAGCGAAGGTCCGCTCCAAGTATCCGAATTTATTTGGTCATGTTTAGTTGTTTTGTTTTAATTGTAAAGTTTCCCTAGTATTGAAGGGGGGAATGTTAAATTGTTGATCACATGTTGTTGTATGTGTGTTGTTAAATTGAGCATGAGCTTATGGAAGAATGATATTTTGTTGTAGATGTTTTATCTCATATATCACATTTGAGCAATTGTTGTTTTGATGGAGTGACCATGAAGAGAAAGATAAACTTTGCAACTTAATAATGTTGTTAAAAATGATTAAAGTTGTTAGAGCACTCTTGTTTGGTGAGTTTATTTATTTTCGGGGAGTTCGTTCAAATTTCGGGAACGAAATTTCTTATGGTGAGGAGGTTGTGACGACCGAGGCTTTCCTTTATTCGCTTTCCTTTCTTTCATCTGTTTGTCCTTCTTTTCTTGTCGTTTGGACTTGGAACGCTCGAAAACTGTTTTCAAAAATTAAAGTCCTTGTTCTTGTTTTCCACTCGGTGTTGAGTTTTAGTTGTTTCGGAGGGTGCGCGATCAAGTTCGGAGTGCCCGGGGACCGAACCAGAATTTTCTGGGTTGCTAGGCCAAGGCCGCAAGTGCGGGGTGGTGAAGCCGCATGTGCGGGAATGAGGGAATTTCAGTGTGTTACACACTGCTTTAATTGCAAGTGCGGGCTGAGGTGTAAGGGACCACCGCACATCCGAAGATGAGGGTCGTACGTGCGGGGAAGGGCGCTCCATACGTGCGGGGTTGGGTGCCGCACGTGCAGCACTCTGGCAGTCTGAATCTTTGTTTTTTTTCACCTTTTTGGCCATAGCTGTATCACATTTTGAGCATTTTTCTCTCACTCTAAACCTCATTTCTCTCCTCCTTCTCTCTAGAAACTCTCACCAAAGCCCTAAAACACCTTGATTCTTGTAATCTTGGGTCTAGATCATCAACACTTCTCACCAATCTTGAAGATCCAAGTTGGGGCTCCTCTTGGTGTTGTGGAAATTTAAAGAGTCTTCTACCAAAGCTAGGGTTTCCACTTTCCTTCATCATCTAACATTGAGGTAGGAATTTCTTGAGTTATATATACATGTTGTGCTAAATATGATGATTTAAAAGCTTTCTTGTAGTTTTTGTGTCGATTTTGATGGTTGCTCCAAATATAGAGAAAGTTTTGAAGAAATGGATTTTGATCTCAATCTTTTTCCTATCCATGAAAATGTTCTTTTTATGAAACTCAAGAAAATATGATTTTTGATTGGGTTTCATCATGAAATGGAGGATGTTGGGTTTTTGATGAAAAACCCTAGAAATTTGGGAATTTTTGGAAAACATGGAAATGTCCATGGAATTCTCCCTTTTCTTTTGATAAAAGATGAAAGTGTGTAGTTTCCATAATGGGGTTGCAATGATGGAAAGCTTTTGACATATGGAAATTGAAAACTTGTTTTAGAAACTATGGTTAAAAATATGATAATATATGGTTGTGAGATGACAAATTGTTGTGCACTTTGAAATTGTGAGAATTATAAACATGGGAACTTGATGTTTGAAAAAAACACCACTTGTGCTCTTGAAGAGACTAGATTATTAAGACTTGTTGTAACAACCCTCACCACAGTTTACCATTAAACTACCGATTACTGCTAAACTGAGACTGATTATGAAAAGTAATTAAACTAATTGAAATACTGAACTGACTGACTGAAATCTGAAACTGATTGATTGACTGTATCCGTTTAAATGCATTATCTATCTGTTTGACTGTCCGATTATCTATTCATGTTTTTATGGTTAAATTGTAAATTGAAGGCTTTATCGGCGGCCGAACCCGAAATCGACTAGTGTTTTATGATCAATAGAATTTATGCGAATTTATGGTGTATTTATTTGAAATGTGATTTGGTATGATTAAATTAGATTAATTATTGATAAATTGTAAGTTGGCCTTATTCACAATTTTGCCACTTAAGTGGCATATCATCTAAACATTTGGCCTTACACACATTTGATCACATTACACATTTCATCAGCCCTTTTTCCTTGTTCTTGCCGACTTGAGAGAGTTAGAGTGAGAAGAAGTGAGTTCCTCCTTGATGGTTGCTTGTAGACTTGGAGATTTTAGAAGATAATTGTGAATTTGAGCTCCTACACCTTATAATTCAAGACTTAGGTAAGGATTTCATCCTTCTAATTGTATATTTAAGCTCTATCTAGCATGGATCATGATAGTTTAATGAGCTAAGTCAAGAATTGGT